TCAAAAAAAAAAAAAAAAAATCCAAAAACACAGTTTGATGAAGTTAAACATACATAAGCCCCAGAGTCACAAATGGCAGGAATATTGGAATTATCAGATCAGGAATTAAAAAAACAAAACCCTATGATTAACATTCTAAAAGCTTTAATGGAAAAAGTAGACAAAATGCAAATAGATGAGTAATATAAATAGATGAAAATTCTAAGAAAGAATCAAAAAATGCAAGAGATAAAAAACACCGTTAACAATGAAAAATGCCTTTGTTGGGCTTATTAGTAGACTGGACATGGCTAAGGAACGAATCTTTAACCTTGAGGTTATGACAATAGAAACTTCCAAAACTGAAAATCAGAGAGAAAAAAAAGAAAAAAAAACCAGAACAGAATATCTAAGAACTATTAGAGGGACAACTGTAAAAGTTAAACATGGTAATATGTTTAATAGGAATAACCAGAAGAAGAAGGAACAGAAAAAAACTGAAGCAATATCTGAAACAATAATGACCAAGAATTCCCCCAAATTAACGTCAGACACCAAACCGCAGATCCAGGACTCTCAGAGAAAACTAAGTGGATACAAGTCCCAAGAAATTATACTTATGCACATCCTATGCAAACTTCAGAAAATCAAAGAAAAATTCTGAAAGAAGCCAGAAGAATAAAAACACCTTACTTACAAAAGAGCAAAGATAAGGATTACTTTCAACTTGTCTTTAGAAACCATGAAAGCAAGAAGAGAATGGAGTGAAATATTTAAAGTGTTGAGAAAAGAAAACTACCAACCTAGAATTCTGTATCCTGTAAATCATCCTTCAGGTATGAAAGAGAAAGAAAGACTTTCTCAAGCAAAAAAGCAATCCTCCTACATCTGCCTCTCAGAGTGCTAGGATTACAGGCATAAGCCACACCAGCTGGCCCCTAGGCTGGTCTTGAATTCCTGACCTCAGATGATCCTCCTGCCTCACACTCCCAAAGTCCTGAGGCAGGCATGAGTCACCACACCTGGCCTTTCAGTACATTCTTGACTGGATACTACAGAGTTTTAGTTTGTAATACTAGCTAGTATTTATTAAGCACTTACTATTTTGTAAGCACTTTGCGTGAGTCGGCTTACCTACGCCTTCCAATAACCCTACCAGGGAGTTCAGAGACTACTACCTGTGCCCTCTCTCCCTGTGAAGTAGATCCAAGGTGTTGTAGGTTACTCCCTACTCCCCCAACTTCATTTGCCTCTTATGTACGAATGATTCCTACATTGACACCTCTGCTCTGTTGAGCTCCATCCTCTTATGTCCAACTGTTCACATCTCCAGTCACATGTGTAAAGATACCACAAGCACACATTTGAGACTGGATTTGTGATCTTCCCCAGCGAACTTAGTGGCCTTCTGGAGCTCCCTGTCTTCAGGAATGTATGGCTATGTGCTGTTTGTTCAGGTCAGAGACTTGGGAGTCTTGCTTCACCCTGCCCCCCTCCCTTCATCCCTGGCCACCCAACCCTCAAGGCCCGTTAAGGTTGCATCCCTGCCCCTCACCTTTAGAATCTTTACGGTCACCACTTCTCTTCACCTGCTCTTGTTCACACTGCTCTTAGGTATTGCCTGGACTCATGCAGCGGCCTCCTACCTCAAACTCTTTCTGGCCCCTCATCACAGTCAAAATGACTATCAGATCACACAAGATCATGTTACCTGCCCTCTTCTCCTACTCCCTGCCCCAAATCTTTGTTGCTTCTCCTTGCTCAGGAAGAAAGACCACGATCCTCAGCATATCCCAAAGCCCTACATGGTCTAGCCTCCGTCAGTCCTCAGCTCCTCTTCCAGCACATTCGAAAGGTATAAATGTCAGTGCCCAGAGATGAGACTAGAGTGCAGAGGTTAAGGCCACGTTTATTCAAAGCGATCCACCTGGGCAATGCAAAGATGGTATCTGTGCCCATGGATAGTTAGAGACACCTTTTATATGGGGCCATAGGGGGTGGGTAAATTCCACAGCTTGCCTGGAGAGCTTTGGTGGGTTAGGGTCCTTTGGCTTGAGGGAATTGGGGCTAACTAGGTCCTTTGTGTTCTTTGTCTTAGGAGGAGGAGAAGGATTCCTGTAGGGGTGTGTTAGGCCCCCTAACAATGTCTTCTTTTGCCCTGGTGGAGTGCCATGGAGTCATAGCTCACAGCAACCTCAAACTCCTGGGCTCAAGTGATCCTCCTGCCTCAGCCTCCCACGTAGCTGGGACTACACACACCCACCACAATGCTCAGCTATTTTTAGAGATGGTGTTTTGCTGTTGCTCAGGCTGGTCTCAAACTCATGACAGCTCAAGCAATCCTCCCACCTCAGCCTCACAGAGTGCTAAGACTATAGACGTGAGCCACCGTGCTGGCAACACATGGTCTCTTAAAGCATCTGCCTAGAAGTAGCTCACTTCTGCTTATGTTCACTGGCCTCATGAGCCCACCCAACCTCAGCAGATGCACTGATGGTATGCAGTGTGCCCAGGGGGAGCAGCGGTGGCTGCCCTGGTGGGCACATGTGGTGGGTGTCTGGTTTGTAACCAGTGATTCACACTGAAAGTGCCAGTAATGACTAGAAGGGCCGAGGGAGCAGCACTCTGGGTAAGACGTTTAGGGAGGCTCTTCCCTTTCCCTCATAGTTTATTCCTTCTCTGAATCATCTCAAAGTCCATGGCAACTCCTCCCTGGTGGGGTTTCCATTCTCCTGGGAATGAAGCCCTCCAAGCAAAAATGAGAGTATAATTTGGGAGCTGGTAGTTGAGAAAGAAAGTGGATGTAGAAATGACCACCACCCCCAGTGTAAAATGTGGAGGAACAAAGCAGTTGTCACAATAACCTTTCAAGCCAAACTTCACATGAAATGTGTCCCTCAATGCTACCTGCCACTGATCCTAGGAAAATAGCACCTCTGGACGGCTGGGGTTGCCAGCATTCCTGAAGGGACTGGCCTGCCCCCCAGAGCCTCTGCAGGGCTTTCTGTCTCTCTTGTGCCTCTGGGGCTGAGCAGAAGGAAGCTCTAGCCACCTGGGTGGTTACCTCCCAGGTGTCTTAGAAAAAAGAGAATTCTTAGCCTTAGTGCAAGGGCTCATCCTTGCAGTCTGGGAGGGTGAGGCAAGAGGATCGCCCACTTGAGATCAGGAGTTCAAGACCAGCCTGAGCAAGACTAAGACCTTGTCTCTACTAAAAATAGAAAAAATTAAATGGATATTGTGGTGGGTGCCTATAGTCCCAGCTACTTGGGAGGCTGATGCAGGAGGATCTTTTGAGCCCAGAGTTTCAGGTTCCTAGGAGCTAGGCTGATGCCATGGCACTCTAGCCTGGGCAACAGAGAGAGACGTTCTACCTCAAAAAAGAGAGAAAAAAGAATCCTTAGTCTCTGATTTTTGGTTTGGAAATGGCTTTTCCCTGCCACTTCTAACAGACGTCACTCTGGGGGTCTTTGGTGGAAGTACACAGCACTCACCACTTTTTCCTTCAGGCTGGAGGGCTGGCCATACCACCTTAGCTCATTAGAGACTGGACTTGCCTGGCAGACTGAACATCTACAATTACTGCTATAATCACATCTAGCCACAGGAAATAATGTCGGCATCAATTCTGAACCTTTTCTTCAACATGGAAAATGTGTTTTAAATGGGCCAGGTTCATCACAAATTTTCTGTTTGTTGGGACTCTATGTCATTGAGTGGGGCCCTGGGTTAATCTGTGGACTTAAAGTGTGGTCCAGCATATGCCCCAGACTGTGCTGAATCCCAGTGGGTTCTAGGAAAGAGTGGAGCTTCCTAATCTCAGGGCCCTTTGCTGCCTGTGACTCTTCTCTTCCTCCGTCATTCTCTCCAGGAGCTTGAGCGCCTTAACCAAGTGCTGGAGGCCGAGAAACAGCAGTTTGAGGAGGTAGTGCAGGAGCTGAGAATGGAACAGGAGCAGATCAAGAGGTGAGTATGATGCCTGGGATGGGAGTGGGAAGGGGTGTCCTAGGTTAGAGCACCCTAGAACAGGTGCAGAGCCCACCTTCCCTGTCAGGTCTCCACCCAAGAGATACTTTTGACTTGATTTGGGTCTTCCTTCTCAATGCTCCAGGCCTTGGGTGTGCCCAGAAGAATCTGTAGACCACCCGTTTACAAATGGGTCACTTCTACCCATTGGAGCATGAGGCCTGGTGAGCACAGGCAGGCATCCCTCCAAGTGACAAAGCCCTTCTGCCTCCATGAAACCTTCTGTACCCAGGGTCAGACAGGAGCAAGCTGGCCTGGGGTGCTGTTGGCCAGGACCCCCAGCATTCTCTGTCTTTCCTGCACAATTATTCCACATCTTGCTAATGAAGTCATTAGGGATCTTTAGCCCCATGTATTGTTTGTGAATCTTGTTGCATATTACAATCATCTACTGAATTAGAATCTCGATAGAAGGACCTAGAGATCTATGTTTTTTAAAAAGCATCACAGCTGATTATGACGCAGCCTAACCAGGCATTTGGAGACCACCTCTGTGAATAGTGTTGACAGTAGTGTCCATAATCATCATCACTATCATTATCAGCGTCACCACTCATCGTCAGTGATATGCCCAATAGAATTTTTCTTGCTACCACCTTATAAGAGGAAGTCAATCAGACATGTACTTTGGGGATGGAGAAACTCAGAGGATCTTCCCAATTAAATAGCCAGGCACCTACTCAGCTTCCAGAACTGTGCCAGACACTAGGATGAAAGGTAAGTCCCCTTCCTTGAGGACCTTATGGTGTAGTTGGGAAAACCAAATTTACACTCAGGAAGCATTAATGCATAATATATAAACAGGGCTAGAAGGCATAGTGCCAATTTCCTGTGTTTTAGAAATTAAGATATGTATAATCATTATTGGCTTGAATAGAGGTTAAATTGATTGCCTTGAAAGGCAAATAGAATTCAAAGAATTAAGCAAGAGAAGAAAGATAACCTAAGCAGGATCAGGGAAAACCTATATCAAAGCCTGATGTGGCCAAGTTTTGTCAAGAAGGCGACAAGGAGTGTGTTGCTCCAGAGCAGGGTCTTAGCCTTGTCCCATGCTGGAATGAGTGTGGGTTCTAGCAGGTGCTGTCCAAGGAAGGTGCGGTACAGCTGGGGTCCTGTTGTTTCTCCAGTGCTTTTCTCTGCCATTGGGGTGGCCCCAGGTTTATCCCAGCTGACGGATGCATGTGTACCTGGAGTAAGTGACTCCAATGCCGGTGGGCTGGGATCTCCTTTCAGCCCCAGGCCCCTACAACTGCTGTCGGGCCCATCTGAGCTCTATAGGGAGGTGAAGCCCAAGCATTTCAGTGTGTAGAGGAGGCTAGGAGAGATGGACACTGCCATACCCAGCCCTCTGTCCCTACAGGGAGCTGGAACTGACTGCAAGATGCCTCAAGGGTGTAGAACAAGAGAAAAAGGAACTGAGGCACTTCACAGAGTCCTTGCAGCAGACGCTGGAGGTGAGGGCCCTGGTGGGCAGCTGACTGGGAGGTAGGCTGGCTGGCTGAGCCACTGGATATTGGTTTTTCCAACAGCGTTTCCCTAGGGAGTCCTCTGCTAGGAGGGTGGGCACGATGGGCCCTGATCTGAAAGGGTCTCTTCTCTGTGAGTCCTTGCAAACTCAGCTGATGCATGAGGCTCAAAGCAGGAGGTGGCCAGTCCTAGGCAAATCCAGGTTCATCCTTACCTGGATTGTGCCCTCAGGAAATCTACCTTCTACAGTGCTTATATGTTTATAATAGATGGACGATTGGTTAGGGTGAGCAGTGAGGCTGTCCACTACTTCATTCTTGTGGCTTGTTCACTTTGCTGTTCCTGGGTGACACTGAGCATGACGGGAAATCAAGAGTCCCCGTCACCTACATTTCATTCCATGGAAACTGAAGGAGAGGGGGAGGGGCATGTGTCAAGGACAAATCCTTACCATGACAGGCAAGCATGAACTCTGACCCCAGCCCCTCCTTCCTCCCACCTACTCTCCCTCGTCCTGCGCCTCTACATCTGGCACAAAGACCCAGCCCACTGAGCTAAGGAGGCCTCCATACCTGTGCCTTCCACACAGTGCATCCTTTCCACCTCTTCTCTGCCTAGAGAACAAACTCCTTTTTTTTCAGACCAAGTCTTACTTTGTCACCCTGGGTAGAGTGTGGTGGCATCATAGCTCACAACAACCTTAAACTCTTGGGCTCAAGTGATCCTCTTGCCTCAGCCTCCCAAGTAGCTGGGGTTATAGGCACCCGCCACAACACCTCAATAGTTTTAGAGATGGGGTCTTGCTCTTGCTCAGGCTGGTCTCAAGCTCGTGAGCTCAGGCAATTCACCCACCTCGGCTTCCCAGAGTGCTAGGATTACAGGTGTGAGCCACCACATCTGGCAAGAACAAACTGTTCATCCATCTAAGGCTTGGCTCAAAGGTCTCCTTAGTCAAACTTCCCTGATCCTTCTAAGAAGTGTTTACTTTGTGCTCTGGGCTGCCATGGCATTTTGTGTATCTGTCGTGGGACCTGACACTCTAGGTGTGTTTTCCAAACTGTGAACTTCACTGGACTGTGTCGTAATGTTCCTCTAATTCCAGCCCCTGAAGCAGGCCTGGCACGTGGCATGTGACCCATGTGTGTGCTGAATCCACGCATTGCCTTGAGGGCTGCACGAGTCCCTAGTCTCCCTTGACTGGCTGGAGCCTCGTTTGTACTGCCGTTTTTGTTTCTCTTCCTCTGTCTCTCATGGAAGGTGGTTCCCATGGATATTTCCCCTCTAAGATTTCTGTAAAGTGCAAGATCCCAGTCTGATAAATGAGGAGAGTATCTACACTTGCTGTGGACTGGCTCCTGCGGGAGTTGTTCCAATGCACCCCCCTCTCCCTGGAGGGTCATGGTGCCCCTGGGCCTTGGGGACAGTTCTAGTTGGTGCCACCTCTACCGGAAGCCAAGTGGGCTCCTTTCTGACTCCCTCCATGGCGGAGTAGCCTTGCCTCCTCATGAGGAAGACCAACCTTGGCCTTTTACGTCAGGGGAGGAATGAAGACATTCCAGCTTTCACAGAGGATTGAGAGAGGCGCAGATCACTCCCTGTCATCAAAAGGTGGGGGCAGCCATGTTGCTGAACCAAAATTAGGTTCTTTCTTTTCCTTTCCTCCTGCTATGCCAGGAACTCTCCATAGAGAAGAAGAAAACCCTGGAAATGCTGGAAGAGAATGAGAACCAGCTGCAGACACCGGCCAGTCAGAGTGAGCAGCCCCCTCCCAGCGGGGGCCTCCACAGCAACCTCAGGCAGATCGAGGAGAAGATGCAGCAGCTCTTGGAGGAGAAGCTCCTGGCCGAGAAGCGGTGAGCCTGAGCCCCGAGTCCATGTCAGCCCTGGGGTCTGGTAACCTTCCTAGAACTGGACAGCTGGACTCTTGGGTTCTAGTTGGCACTGACCAGATGGGCATTCACTTCCTTTGGCCTAGGATTCAATGGGAAGGGAGGCTTCACCTCTCAAAGTTGATTGATAATTATCTCCCTCCCAAAGTTGATTGATAATTATCTCTTGCAAGGGTGTGAACCCTACAGAGGCATCAGGTCCTCCTAACAAGGTGCCTGGTGGCAGGCTGAGCAGATTCTCTTAGCCCTCTCTTGCTTGTGAAGAAACAGCCTCAGGGGTCACGTTTCCAGCAAGCTGTAGGGCCAGATGTCCAGGCTTCTGACTGGAAGCCAAGGGCACCCATCCCTGGGTACACCTGGGGGCCTGGACCAGGGTTTCTCTGGTCAGATCTCTAAGAGTGGCTGCTCTGCAGCTGGCCACCTCCTTTGTGAGTGAGCATTGAGTAAGTGCCCCTTCTGTCCCTACAGGATGAAGGAGAATGAAGAGCGCTCACGGGCCCTGGAGGAGGAGCGTGAGTTCTACTCCAGCCAGTCCCAGGCGCTTCAGAACTCACTGCAGGAGCTGACTGCGGAGAAGCAGCAGGCCGAGCGGGAGCTCAAGGTATGGCTAGGCCTGCAGGGAGCAGCTGGTGCTCAGGGCCTTTCCCACCACCTGGAAACTTCTCTCACATCCCTACACTTTACCAGGTAGCTAGCTGCCTGAGCTATCTCTGCTCATCTGACCAGACGGTCAGCTCTGGGGTGGAGGCACCACCCATGAGGGGAAGGAGCCAGTCTGCTGCATCAGGGACAGAGGCCTGCTGGATGCAGGGACTAGTCCAGGCCATCTGGTTCAGGGGGACACAGGGAGGCAGGATGCGGCAACTTCCATTCAAGCCCACTGAGCCAGAGGTGACCAGGGAAGGCTTCCGGAGTAGATGGCACCTGCTTGCAGGACCTGAATTCCCTCTCATTTTCCTCTCCCCACACCCTCAGGCTGAGGTCAAGATCCGCATGGACCTGGAGAGACGCCTACGGGAGGCAGAGGGGGCCTTGCGGAGCCTGGAACAAGGGCTCAACTCCAAGGTGCGGAATAAGGAGAAGGAGGAGAGGATGCGGGCTGACGTGAGCCATCTGAAAAGTAAGCCCTGCCCTCTAGGCCCAGCCCCCCAACTCTGGAGCTTAGGGTTAGCCCCACCAGAGTCCAGGCCCAGCAGAGCCTGGAAGAGGGCCTGGAGCCCCACACTGGGGCTGGTGTGCATTTAGTGTCCTTGGATACTGATGGGGTTTCTTCTCAGCCCTGCCTGCAGGCAGCTCCTTGGTGCTGCTTCTCTTTGGCTGTTGGTTCTGGGTAGGGGTCTGGGATGGGGAAAGCCTACAGTTTCTTCCCCTTTTCAAAAGCTCAGAGCTCTGTTCTCTGCAGAGCTACCCCTGGGATGGCTGCAGATTGTGTTTTGAGGGGCAAGGGCTGAGCCTCAGCAGGTAGCTCTGGTCTCTCAAGGAGTGGGTCGACATATTTCCCACTCAGCCTGGCCAGGGTCCAGGGAAGCAGAGGGCCGGGGCTAGAGGGAAGGATGCAGTGGCAGAGCATCCTCCCTGGCCCTGCCATCACAGGGTTCTTTGAGGAGTGCATCCGGAATGCCGAGCTGGAGGCCAAGATGCCGGTGATCATGAAGAACTCCGTGTACATCCACAAGGCCGCCACTCGCCGCATCAAGAGCTGCCGCTTCCACCGGCGCCGATCCAGCACCTCCTGGAACGACAGTGAGTGTGGCCATTTGCAGGCCTGAGGGGCGGGATGGTCACAGGCTGTTGGTGACAAGGCAGGAAGAGGGCAAGGTGGGCAGTGAGCAGTTTTGGTCCAGCTGGAAAGCCAGACGGTATGGCCTCAAGCCTGGCTTTGTTGTCCTTGGCCAGTGGGGCGATCTCAGGGCACTGGGTTCCTGGAGGCCCAGGGATGGGAAGAGCTAGGCTCAGTGGTACGGAGGATGGGGCAAGTTTAGGGACGGCCAAGCCTTGGTGAGTGGGACCATTCACAGGGCTGGTCGGGCGCTGCCTCCACAGTGAAGCCGTCCCAGTCCTTCATGACCTCGCAGCTGGAGGCCAACAACATGGAGGAGCTGAAGGAGGTGGCCAAGCGGCTCAGCAGGGACCAGCGCTTCCGGGAATCCGTCTACCACATCATGGCTGGCCAGCCCGGGGCCCCCTCAGCACTTTCCCGGGGTGCAAAGTGATGGGCATTTTCTCCCTGCCTCCGCATCTTTCCTCTGGACCTAGGGCTGAGGGTTGGGAAGGGGCAGCAGAGGGAAACCCGACTCTGCCTGGCTCCTCTCCTCTGGCAGGCCCCTGGGGGTCAGTCTCACCCCTGAAGGGCAGGGACACACTCCCTCTGCCCACCCTCACCCCCCGGGGTCTACACTGGGTCCACACAGGCCCGAGCTGGGTGCCGCCTGGTTGTCATGCGAGGTGAGAGCAGGGCTGGCTATTCCTGGAGAACCTGTTGGTTGGAGAGTGGGCAGGGGAGGGGCTGCCCCGCTGGGCGGAGACTGTAGCCCCTGCTGGTGCTCACCACATTCTTCTGTGACTCTGGCTCCATCACCCTGACCTGGTTGTGATTAAAGGCCTCATCTTCCTACCCTGGTGCTCCCTTTCCCCCAGGTTTCCTGACCCACTCTCCTCCTGACACTCATTGAGACATCCTCAGCTGAGGCCCCTCACTTATACCACATGGTGGGGTGGGGAAGAAAGGGGTCCAGGGCAGCAGCCTCTGGACTCACTGCACACATACACCTGCCACAGAACAGCCAAGAGAGCACAGATATCTCCCTCTCAGCTTCTGAGGAGCCTTGCTGCCTCCTCTCCCAGGGAGGCTTTGCCCAGTGAGGCAATGTGACCATGTACTCTTCAGATGGGGGGCCTGGGCTGTGATGAAACCAGAAGCCAGTGGTCAGTTCAAGGTCCTTAGGGATGGAGCTGACACACCAATCTGGTACTTTCACAGAAGACCACTACCCTCTGGGGGCTAAGAGCTGTGGATCATGTCCCTCACCCATAGTCTGGCCTGCCCTTCTCCTCGCAGACCTACCCTCCAAATCTGCCTGTCTCTGTTGGCCTTTCATCCAAAAAAGGGGGTCTACCTGGGATCAGGGTGCTCTAGACACCGGTGTTATAATAGGTGCTGATTCTCTACTGCTTGGAAAGCCAGGATGTTCTGTTCTGAGAGACAGACAGGTTGCTGCAGAGCAAATCCCAGCAGCAGGGGCAGGCCCCAGGAAGCCCTTATCCCATCCTATGGGAAGAAGAACATCGCCACCTCTGAGGTGCACGTCTGCTGCTATGCTGCCCAAGTCCAGCTGGCTGACCTGCTCTATACTCAGGGTCATCTGGTAAAAATTACCTACGTGGTCCTCTCCAGGAGCAGGTGGACTCTGAAGACTTCATTCAGTCTTTGCAGAACTTAGCTGGGGCCAGGGGTAGGCACCTCAGAAACAATGCATTTGAAAGGGCTGAGTCTAAATGTAAAAGCTTTAAACATATATAAATCTGCATAAACCCAGTTGTTTATCTAACATGTATGAGGGGGAAGATTTATAAAATCCAGATTACTCTTTTTGTTTGTTTTTAAAGAATTAAATTAATAGTGACTTGCTCTTGGAGAAAGTCACTTAGAAACTTTTAAAAGCATTTGTTTTTCCTGGGCAAGTCATTAACCAGAAAGAAAGTACTTGTCTCAGTCCATTTTGTGCTGCTGTAACAGAAAACCTGAGGTGGGGGTAAATCTATAAAGAACAGAAACTTACTGGGCCACAATTTTGGATGCTGGGAAGTCCCTATATCAAGGACCTTCTTGCTGTGTCATCCCAGAGCCAAACAGCAAAGAGAGGGCAGGAGAGAGGGTGTCAAACAGATCCATTCATAACAAAACTACTCCCTCAAAAATTAATCTGCTCATGAGGGCAGAGCCCTCCTGGCCTAGTCATCACCTCTTAATACTGGTACAATGGCCATTAAATTTCCACATGAACTTGGAGGGGGGACAAACATTCCAACCAGGGCAGTGCTTTTCTGTGTACATTCACCAAGCCCTAGTTTCCTTCTCTTCTCACCCTATGCTTTCCTTGCCTCAGGCAAGCCTGGGTCCCGTTCAACCAACTGAACAATCTGTAACTGTGCATTTGTTAAATGCTCCCTCACTGTACCTAGCACTGTAAATACGAAAAGAGCAACACCTCTATAGGAAAGTATATAGGGGTGGAAATTGCTTAGTGGGAATATATTGATCTGATTTGTTTTTTAATTTTTAAAAACAAAACTCCTATTCCTTGGCCAATTAAATGCAGAACTTCCTAAGTATGCCCGTGTGGTCATTGCTGAAGAGGTGTTGCCCCCCGCAGGCCAAAGGTCGAACTCTAGCCTCACCTTTCCAGCTGTCTCCACTGCACACTCCCAGACACACTTCTGCCAAACTGATCCTTTCATAACAAAACTACTCTGTCAGACATGCGAGGAAGTGCTCCCACCACTGCTCTGCTTGTGAGAGGCTTAATAATTAATAGAAAAATCTGCCTTCCCACCTCCATCCTGGCTGTCCCTGTCTAACAAGGATGATCAACTGGGTTTTCTTTTGTTTGGAGCACAAACCAAAGGGACAGAGCTGACTGTGCCAGTGAGAGTAGCCTCAGGGAGACAAAGGACACCTGAATTTCATGACCTATTAGTTTCAGTACCCTACAGAAATAGTTTTACCTGCTCTGATAAGCAGAGGTTTGTGAGAAATGGTCAGGACTGGATTCTCCTCCCTTGTGGGTTGTGTACTTTCCCCCCAGGGAGATGTTAATGGAGGCAGGAGACCTGGGAAACACTTGACATCAGACTCACTCCCCGGCTCCTCCCACTGTGAGGGAGGTACCACCTCTGTTCATCTCTGCAGGGACGAACTTCTTGCCCCCAAGAATCCCACCCAGCTCAGCATGGCCTGGGCCACTTGTTTTGGAGCCCACAATGAATGATAATACTGGAAAAAAAAACTTGCTCAAGTCTCAGGGAGCCAGCCCAGGGATGTGTCAGATTTGATGTAATGGGAAGGTCATTAAACCCACTGGCCAAAACTGCCCTGGAGCCATCAGATGAAGTCCAGCAGCCCCGTGGAAACTTTGCTCCCACAGTCAGCCATGGTGAAGCTTCTCAGACCTCCAGGCCTCTGCAAACTCTGTGGCTTTGACTCCTGGAGGAAAAGCTTTTGACTTCTCTTACCCCATTCCTGGCAAGCCCGGGTGGAGGGGTATCCTTTGCAAGTCTTTGGGAGAGGACTCAATGGTTGTTTTTGCCTCTTAGAAGAGAGATCTATTCCCAGACATCCAAAGCAACTGGGAGAAACTGGTTATTCAAACTGAGTGAGTGCACATGGGTGCAGTGTTCCCAGTTCTCCTGACTGCACATCGCACCTCCTCTTCCCCTTCCTGGACTCGGGCGTCTGCTCATGGCTCCCAACTCTTCTGACTCAGAAATGAGTTTCACCACCCCATGCTGGGTTAAAGGCACTTAGGACAAATTGAGGAAATTTTCCAAGCCCAGGAATACTAGGGGATGAGGGTCTTAATTTACTAATCCCCTTGTGGCAAACTCTACTTGCCACTGTCAAGGTTTAAATGTAGTCTAGCATTCTGTGTCTCTCTGGCTTTGCCTCGGAGTGAGACTTGGTAACTAGGCAGGAAAGTTGGGGTGATTCAGGAATGTTCACAGGCAAAAGACTTCATGTAAGGGGGTCTACGGGCCATCCAGACAGCTGCAGAGCCAGGTATGTTTGGGGGTTTATGCTGTCTTGGGACTTGCTTTCTTTTTTCTTTTCTTTCTTTCTTTTTTTTTTTTGAGACAGAATCTCAAGCTGTCGTCCTGGGTAGAGTGCTATGGTCTCATAGCTCAAAGCAACCTCCTACTAGGGCTCAAGCGATCCTTTTGCCTCAGTTTTCTATTTTTAGTAGAGACAGAGGTCTGGCTTTTGCTCAAGCTGGTTTCAAACTCATGAACTCAAGCAATCCTTGGCCTCCTAAAGTGCTAGGATTACAGGTGTAAGCCACC